AAAAAAAAAAAAAAAAAAAACACCTCATTATTCCTAATAAATCATTTAAGGCATTTATTAAATTCTCAAAAAAAATCATAAATATAATAACAATTATATCTCTCTATAACTTAAAAATGCTCCTTAGACACTCTATACTTCACCTGTGTACTGAAATAGTTCAGGAAATACCTGAATATCTGGGGATTTTATAACAGTTCAGCTATGCTATTCTATGGTTAAATATGTGTTTAGTATCATTCACATCATATCTATAAATAGAATTATCTTATATAAAAATATACATATAAAACATGAAAATTAAGTAAATCTTCCTGTATGAGGTATAAATGTTAATATATGCTCCATATATAAAAAGTTATTAATATTTATACCATATATAAGAAGATATTAATATATTTTTACAGTATATAAGATTTATTTAACTAGTTTTAAAGTAAATGTGGAAAAATTATCAAGGAACTAAAATTCGTGATGTAACCTTTTAGATTAACATTCTCATTAAGTGCATCTCTTTGACATTGTATCGTGACATATCCTTTTTGTCCCGCTCTAAATGGTCTTTTAGAGAAAACAATGGCTTATTCTCACTCTTTATCAATTCCTTTTAAATACTGTTAAGGTTGGTTGAATTTTTTCTCAAGTAAAATTTATCAGACATTAAGAAAACTCATTGAAGTAATACAAAATGTCTGATAAAACATATTCATAATCTAGCGTAAATATGATTTATCATTGTTAAATTTCAATAAATTACAGTATAAATTTTTTCATAAAACGTGATCTTAAACTATTTAGATATGAATTTTGTTGTTATTTGTTTAATTTTTTTCTTTCATTGTAGATCTAATTGAATTATTGGGAGATAAAGTATTATAATAATTCAAATCCATGTTTTTCAACCTAAAAAACAAATGTATACACATACATATATATGTATAAAGTTAAAATTTTAAATTTTAATTACAATAATAACAAATAAGTAAAAAAAAATATTGTATAAAATAAGGAAAAAATGTTTTACATAGATGCAAATGTAACATGATTTCATCCTCAATTTTCTCCTATATGTGTGTAAATATTTATATTTAATTAATTTCTTACACGCAAAGTAATACAATAGTAAATAAACACATTTTAATTTTGTAATGTCATGCTCTAAAAATAAAGTAAATAGCCAGAGAACATTTGATTGATAAACTCTATAAGAGTATGCAAAAAATGAAATTTATATTTAGTGTGTTGAAGAAAATGAGAGAGAAAATGATAAATTTTTGTGATTCAGGGCTTGAAAGAGGTGAGATAAGTAAATGTGGACTCCACCTTTCTCTAAAACACATGGATAAATATGAATTAAATCAATAAAACAAATAAAAAAAACTAGAATTTGTACCACTTACTAACATACACTTTAGTATATATAACCTTCAACTCCTTAACTTTTTTTATACATAGAAGACTAAATTTTGGGTATAAATGTATCCTGATCTGGTCCAAATATCTTTTCTGTCCCAGTTTCATATGGTTTGATGGTATATAATTTTGAGAAGGTATCTCTTAACACTATAAACTGTTGAAAATGTGGAAAATAATAGAAAATTCATGAAACATACTTTAATATTATTCCTATTGAGAAGAATCAAGTTGAAATAAAATGTCTAAATTTAAGTTATAATAGAGAACTATTTTTAAAAAGTGTAATTTATCAATCAATATATAATGTGAAGCTTCATTGAACAAAATATACTTCCTATAAGTAATTTATATAAATTTTATTCTATTAAATTTAGATGTAGTAAGAGATAAATTCAGAAAAATATATAGCTTAAAATATCTTTATGAATGTAAGTTTATTCTAAGTAATTCATGATAAACATAACTATAAATAGCGATTTGGTAAATTTGTAGTATATTTTTCTGTAAAGTTTTAGTAGAATCTATAACTAAACTATTTGCAGAACCACATAAATGGTGTAAACAAGGCTATTTAGCCCAGGATCTGGACATATAGAGGCTAAAATTTAGTCTTTTATATAGAAAAAATGATACAAAAGTCGTATATTTTTATGGATTTGGGAGAAGGCCCTATTTTACCTCTCTTAATCTCGATATATAATTAAAGAGTAGGTGTTCAGAGCGTTGTGTAAAAAGAACCATTGGGCAAATCTTAATCAAATTTGGTATACGTAGTCCAGAGTATGCGCTTTAGATTATCGAGAAAAAATTTTTACTTCAAAATTTAGTCGCCAGGCGAAATTTGATGCTGTTATTTCTTAATGTGCACAATACATACGTTTTC